AATCTCCAATCTCTATTCGTATTCTTTTTTATGATTAAAAAAAGAATATTGATGGCATCGTATTTTGTATTTAATCGGCGCGCACTATTTCTGAGATCGATTTAGACGAGTATCAGTATTCCATATCCGTCAAAGATTATTGACAATATATTATCATATTGATTTGATTCACGATGTCAATCCTTCGCATCTCGCCGATCTGCATACGGTTGCGAGAAGCATTATTTGATGCGCGCGCGACCCAGCAGTGCATCGCGCTACAACATATTGATTAATTCAATTTGGGATTGGGTCAGGCTAGGCTAAAGGCTTAAAGTAATAGTTGGAATACAAGTAAAAAGTAATTCTAACGGTTTTGAATAATACATATAATACCGTGATACAATATTACATATTACATGAAAGTTTTAGTATAACTTTTATTTGTAGCGCGATGCACTACTGGGTCGCGCCGCGCATTAAATAATTCTTCTCGCAACCACTTCGGTAGATTGGCAAAATGCACCACTGTCATGTGCCTCACCAAGCTGCGAAGGATTGACATCGTGAATCAAAACTTTTATACACTATATTAAAAATATCATTTGATACAATAAGGTCCACAAATAATTTTAAAATTGAAAATTAAATTAAAATTTGAGGTATGCCGCGCATATTTTCGCTAATTGACACCGTAGTATGAAAATCGAGCGCTAATATAAAAATTGTCATATTTTCGGAGAGACAGAGGGGCGAAAAAAAACTTTGTCAATATAGACAGTTTAGATTTGAACTTGGAGCCGCAAGGCCAAGGGTGATTTTCAAAATATTGAATTTTTGAAGGGTTATTTTTATATAGGGTCATTGTGACATTATGTGTATACTGTTTGAAACAATTTATTATTCATTTCATTCATATTTTTGATGTTAACAACCCAAACGTTTTTAGTGTTATTGTTGCACCTCAGAGCACCCTTTGCCCCATGTGTAATTTGATTGAAAGAGCATTTTTTGATGTAAGAGTGTTTCCCGCTCCTGCTCCAACCAACGCCGCTAAACCAATTCCTATGATGTATTTGGCTCACGAGACTGAGAAGAAAAGAGCATATAATGCAAGGGTCCTAGAAGTGGAAAAAGCTACCTTTACACCTTTAGTTTTCTCCACAACAGGAGGCATGGGAGTCGAAGCGCAACGCTTGATTAAAAAGCTTGCACAAAAGATGGAATCTCCAACGGGTCAGCGTTATTCAGACTCAGTTACATATCTTAGAAAGCGCTTGCGCTTTGAGGTATTAAAGACAACGGTTATTTCGATAAGGGGGGACAGAGGGCCCAAGTTGCGATATAAACCAGACAATATTGAAGATTTAGATTTAAATATTGAGCCCTTTGACTAGAGAATACTTTCTTGAATATTTTCGATAGTTTTTAATATTGGTAATATTAATGAATTGTAATTGATTGATATGTAATATTTAGGCCCGTGGCCAGTTTACACAATTTGATTATTAATTATTTTTTATTTATCCTCATAAATTGTGGTAGTCCTCATCCATAGAAATTCCCAATTTTAAAAATCATAATATCAATGAAACAAGAAATTTCAATGAAACAAGAAATTTAATTTTAGCACATTTTACAGAATAAAAAGATGTAAATCAGTTCATAAAATATAATGCCCATTTGGTGTATGACTTTTTGTCCTTGACTGCTAGTTTGGTTTTGGAAGGACAGGTAACTAACGGGGCAAGGAATGCACGTGCCTGGAAGATTTTGCACACACCAAAACGCTAGTTCAGTTAAGTTTTTAGAGACATGGCTCATTTTAGGACTAGAAGAAAAATTGTTAGCGGACATTAGGGGTTCTGTTTATAGTTGTTACTATAGGTTGCAGTCTTGTTGTGACAAAAAGTCTACCTAAAACATGCTTTAGTTTATATAGTGTAGTTCAAGGATATAAAATGCAGCTTCAAGGTGGATATTGGAGAGCTGGCGAAAGATTATGGCCTTTGAATCAATGGTTATAATATGCTTTGTCCCTGACGTAATTTTAATCTTCACCATGATTTGTCGTGATTGGTTGACACTAAATTAGATTTTCATGGCTCCTCAAATACACTGCCAGAGATGTAAGATTCGAAGAAAATTATTGAGAGGGGTTGTGGACATTTCGTAATATTCGATGAGTTCATATCCTGAAATGTTTTGATATGCACCATTTTGGGATTCTGGACTGAAGTATGCAGCAAACAAGCCCCTATAATATAGTTACAGTAGGGGATGTAATACTGTCGTGAAGATTGGGGGAAACTGGTGGACTGTGGTTTAGTCATAGTTCTGGTTTCATTCAAGTTTGAAACTGTCGGGATTGTATTTAAAATTTAAAAGTTCTACAATAGTGCAGTTGATATCTATGAGTCTGAGTTGAGCAGTATTTTGGACAAGCATGCTAAAGAAAAAACTTTCATCCCAAGAAAAGATCATATCGCTGAATGGTGGTCTACACACTGTCAACAAGCAAAAGCAATGAGAAGAAAGATTGAGAGACTGTATCAAAAGAATCATGATTGCCCAGATTATAAACGACTGTACAGGAAAGCATCAGAGAGAGCATCCTCAGTCATTGTATCCACAAGAGATCACTTCTACAAAACAAGGTTACAAGATAGTGCAGGTGATGCTAAAAAGACTTATTCCATCGTTAATAAGTTGCTCAATAAAGAAAAAGTTAGTACTACTACACCTTCTTGCTCTTCAAATCTTGAGAGTGCTAACAACTTTGCACAGTTCTTTAAATCAAAGGTCGACAACATATACAACAACATTTATTTAGAACAACAATCCCAAGATTCTCCTAACTCAGATGAATTTGTTCCTCTTTCTAATAGCCCAAATATAGTACAATTCCGTCATGTGTCTGATGAAGAACTAGTAAGCATCATAAAGAATATGTCTAACAAATTCTGTGATCTTGACCCCATACCTACAAAGATTCTCATCAAGTGTCTCCCAGAACTCCTTCCTCTGATCTCATTTATAGTCAATGAATCATTAGTTAAAGGTGAGTTTCCTATAAAACTTAAGGAGGCTCTCATTCGTCCAAGTTTGAAGAAACGTGGCCTTGACGGTGAATCTCTATCTAACTATAGGCCTATTAGCAATCTCTCATTCTTGTCAAAAATCATTGAGAAGTGTGTATCTATACAGCTCACCAGTTATCTTGAGGATAACAACTTGCTTTCTAAAGTTCAGTCCGGCTATAGGAAGTTTCATAGCTGTGAAACTGCAACAACCAGAATCCATAACGACATCTTGATAACTATTGACAAGAAAACTAAAGTTGTTCTTTTACTTCTAGATTTGAGTGCTGCCTTTGATACTGTCAATCACCCAAGATTAATCAAGAAGCTAAGATCTGCTTATGGCATTACAGGCATTGCTCTTACATGGATCAGGTCCTACTTGGCTAACCGTTCATTTTGTGTCAAAGTCAAGGATTCGTCTTCCTCAGCAACTGTTCTTGAGATAGGTGTGCCACAAGGTTCAATCCTTGGCCCCCTGCTATTCATATTGTACACCAAAGATCTTGAGAACATTGCAAGTATGCATGGGTGCTGTATTCATTTGTATGCTGATGACACCCAGCTGTATTTCACTCTTGATTCTGATGACCCATCACAGCTAGAGCACAATATGGAACACTGTATGTCTGATATCAAGAAATGGATGACAAACAATTTCCTTCAACTGAATTCTTCTAAGACTGAAGTCATCGTTATATCCTCTAAATTTGACTCAACAAATATTCCAGCCTCTCTACAGATTGTTAAGGATCAAGAGCCACATGTTGTTAGTGGAACTGTGAAGAGTCTTGGGCTGTATTTGGACAGTTATCTTTCAATGAGTGATCAGATTACGTCAGTGGTTCAAGCATGTAATATTCAGATCAGAAATTTGTGGTTTATTGCATCAAAACTGTCTTTTAACCTTAAGATTCAGCTTGTTCATGCTCTAGTACTCTCTAGAATTGATTATTGCAATAGCGTATATTTTGGACTGAGCTCTTATGATTTAAGTCGTTTACAGAAGGTGCAAAATTCTGCTGTAAGATTTATTTTCGGGAGAGGAAGAAAGGCACACACTACTCCACTTCTTAAGAAAGTTCATTTTCTACCAGTTAGATTTAGAATAGATTTTAAGATTGCCCTACTTGCCTACAAGTGTTTAAATAATATAGCTCCTCCTTACTTAAAAGAGTTGATATCTCCTAGGCAGCAAAGTTTAAAAAATGTACGTCTTGATAATGATTATTTTTACCTTAGTTTTCCGCCCTCTCCTAACTATGTAAACACAGAGAAAGCTTTTAGTCACTGTGCAGTTAAAGTATTTAATTCCTTGCCATACGACATAAGATCAGCTGAGTCAGTTACATCTTTCAAGACCAAACTTAAAACATACTTCTTTTCTCTAGCATTTGATTGATTTTGCATTTACATAGGTAAAATGAACTTGTCATGTCTAATTTTCAATTAAACTAAGCTCAGTTAATGTAAGAGCCGCTTTAGAAAGCACTGGAGTTTATCTCCAGGATTAAATTATATCGAGTTATATGATTTAGCTATAAGGCGGTTTATAAATGTTGTATTTATTTTATTTATTATTATTAATATTAGAATTAGATATTGCAAATCAAAGCTAGCAGAGGGTTCAATAAGAAAGAAAAAAAACTGGGAATAGAGTAATACCCCGAGTAATACCCCGATTCACCAAGGAGTTTGGGAGAAAGAAAAAAGCTGCAGTAAATCGTTTACATTATGTACGTTACGGTACGTAAGCCCTATTTGTAGGAAGGAAATGGCCGCAAGTAAATCAGGGTTTGCGGTAAATCAGGCGTGGTAAATTGGGGTTTTGCTATACCAAACAATCGTAGCAGGAGGTGTGACAGTGAGAAATTGTGATGTCCCCAAACCGGGTTCAGTAATGATATCCATGAATTTATTCCCATAACATTTTTGTTTCAGCCTAGCATAGTTATGATATCATCATTTCTCTTTGGGAATATTGATGAGCAAGGGAAGTTGGAATCCACTTACTTGAATGAGGTAATTTAGTAGATCGTAATACTTATATAATTTGATTATGGCAGGTCACGACTTCACATAACTATGACTATAGCAGAGTCTTATCTAGCACTCTGATAAGGTTTACTGTACAAAAATTGAAAAGAAGTTAATGAAATACCTACGAGCTGAACTTGCAATAGATAGTCAACATATTTTATTTTATTGTCATAATACGTTTTCAGGATGTAAGGGATGCTCTTGGTAATATTGCAGACCTTAATGAATTTTCACGTGATCTTGTGCGTGATGCATCTGAAGCAGGACCTTCTGGAAGCTCTTTGTTTACAGACACAACACCTGTTAGACCACTTGAATCTGCTGAAGATTTTGGCGAGATTGAGGAGCTTGCAGATGATAGTGACAACTTTAAGGTTTGTGTTTGATAAGTTCACATATTTGACTCTCTTTGTGGAATTTTTAGCTCACTTAATCTCTTTCACTCATAACTATTGTGTAATGTGTAGAATCACACCAGTGTGGTTATCATGGAACCTTATCATGGAAGGTTAATGTTTTGGGTATTCAATTGTAAATTGCGCCAGGACCATACAGCGCTGGATGGTTGAATACTGCCTACAACTCAACCCAGGAAAAACCCAAATACTCGTGATTTCCTCACCTCATGTGTTGAATCAGATATCTTTAGGAGGAGTACGGCTGTCAAATGACACGTGTATCAGATTTGTCAGCACAAAAAAAAATCTTGGTGTGCAAATCGACCATCACCTTACCTTTGAGCCTCAAATCATGTCCCTAAAAAAACATTGTTTTAGACTCCTCAGGAATGTTATCAGAAGAAAGTATCTTTTTAGTAAAGCTCAGCTTAAGCTCATTGTTAATAGTATTATCGTCTGCAAATTGGATTACTGCAACGCCCTTTACTTTGGAATCAGTGACTACCTCTTCCATCAGCTTCAACTCATTCAAAATGCTGCTGCTAAAGCTATAGTAGGACTATATGAACATGATCATTTAGGAGATACTCTGAAAGACCTTCATTGGCTGCCTATCAGTTACAGAATTCAGTACAAATTATTACTTCTTGTTTATAAATGTCTAAATGGCATGGGACCAGATTATTTAAGTACAATGTTTAAATTTGCAAACTATAATCATCTTATCTATTTGACTGAACCTAGAGTGCATACACAATATGGAGAAAGATCTTTTCAGAAAGTTGGCCCTAAATTATGGAATGAACTACCATTTGAGATTAAGAATTGTACAACATTGGACTCTTTTAAAGTGTATCTGATAACATTTCTTTTCAAACGTGCTCATAATATTGTATCTTAATATTTTTCAATCCTAGTTTTCCCTATTTGTTTCTACTGGAAAATGCATACACATTATCGTTTATTTAGTGAATCAAGTCTAACCACCCTTATCTGGTTTAGAATATAAATGAGGGTTGCTTTTTCAGGTTTTATCGTATCCTGAACTGTTTTCGTGGCACACCTGTGCATTTTAAGTTGTTGTGCCACTATAATATACAAGTTTAAATTATTATTATTATTATTTTAATTACAGTTTTTGATGTTTTTTCAATGATAATTTAAATAATAAAAATAATTTTACTAATAAATTTGTTGACTGATAAAATTCAGATAGTAAACGTGCTGGATTTAGAGATAAAATTTCATAATGTAACTTATTTGCAGGTGCCGGCTCAGCCCCTTTCGAAAAAGCCAGCTGCTCCAGCTACTCCAACTCCTGAAGCTAAAAATGCTGATAAGATTCTACGGTCAACATCACTCTCAAACATCCAAAAAGCAAAGCTTCTCTTCCCAGGCTTTGCTCCAGACAAAAAGTTAAGATTTTCCCAGATGTTTGGTAGTAGTTTTAGTGGAAGGGATCTGGACAGAGATTGGAAGTATGGTAAAAGAAAAAAGAAATACAAGAAGTCTATTCGAGAGAATGGACTTTGGACTAAGGTTTGGATCAAAGTTAAAATTGTTTTAAGTTTTTTTGCACTTAAATAGTTTTATTGCGCTGAAATAGAATTACATGTAGATTCTGGTGGGGAGGTAAGACATGTTTATTTTACACGTGACAGCAATTAACCAATCAACTTTCACTATTGACCAATCAAATCTTAGAATCACTGTCACTCGTCAAAAAAATCACATCTATTTAAATTAAGAATTCAAATTGTTCAATAATCAAGTTATATAAAATTGAATCATTCAATATAAACTTTCATTTCATAATTCATTAGAAAACAAGTAATTGTAGTTGTGATCATAATAATATAGTAATTGATACTGTTTTGCAGACGATACTAGAAATACCTGCCCCTCCCCCTGATTTGATAGCAGCTGGTGATTATGTAAAGATAATGAATGTGGAGAAGAAATCGACAACTGACGGGAAAAAAGAAGGTATCAATTTATGAGATGATTCCTTATTTAAATTAAATATCAAAATCAAAAAATTTCAGAAAATTATGGACATCTCCTCACCAATGTTTATCGTTTATTCTGTTTCATGCTCAATGAAATGTATGTATTACCTTTATCAGTGGTGGAAGCGAGGAACTCAGAGAAAGAGACCGAGTGGAGGAATGGACCAGGATCACTTTGGTACGATCTAGCTAGTGTGCCCAACAATGCTACTAGCTTTGATTATGGCTTCAAACTATCTACCAAGGTATTGACCAGAAAAGCTGACAAATTATTTTTGTTTTCAATTGCTAGAACAAAGTTAGCATGGAATAATAGTCACTGTTCATGTTATTCGTATTTAATTTACATGAGTTGATGTTCCTAACTGAGCTTCACTCAGCTGGATACAGCAGAAGAGACTCCCAAGAAACAGAAGGCAGATGAAGAGGAGGGCTTGTACATGATGTATAATCACTTGCAGTGGGAGGACTTGGTGGCTTGGGATAATTCACAGATTAAATCTCCTCCAGCTAAAAACATGGACCTCCTATACTTCTCAGGTTTTTTGTAAGCTTAGCTATCTTGAAGCGGGGCTCACATCAAGTATAGGGGTTGTTTGAGTATTCTTGTGAGTTTTAAGTTTGATTAAAATATTATGTTATTAACAACTCATGAGCTGTAATGTTCAACAGATAAGATGTCACATTACAAAGGTATACAAGAGTCTATTCTGAAGCCCACCAATCGTAAATTACTGGACTCTAACTGGGAGAATAACATCATCTGGGACACTAAGGCAAGACATCTTTCATTCTAGTCGTTCAAAATATTAAATTATTCGGTTATTATCAATCTTTACATACATTATGTTTATGAATAATTCTCTTGATAACATCCTCCTATCCACCAGAATATGAAGCACATGTTGAAGACTCCAGATGTAGTGGTGGACCCCAGTACAATGCACAAAGTACCGGTCGAGAAAGAGAGGGTGCTTGAAAACAAGGGTACTGCTACTCCTAAAAAGGTATGCCGAGGATAGTTCCTTGCTTTGGTTTGTTCAAGTAACAGATCTACTTCATCTCCACAGTTACAAAATTATCTTCCTTATTATCATGATTGTCCCCATAACTCACAATATGTTAATGTATCAGGAGTACCCCAGTAAAATGAGAATGAAGCCTCTACAAACTGTTCACCCCTTGCACGGGGAACTGCTCATGGACAAAAAACCTAAAACTACAGATCCTTTCTTTAAGATATCTTGTGAGGAGTTCTATCAACCCAAACCAACTTCTACTGAGAACGTGCTCACTAAATACAAATCAAGTTAGTATTGGATAAAGAATTTCTTCTTTTTGTCATCAACTCATGACTCATTCTGTCCATAGTAATATGTATTCACTTTATTGCTACATCAGTATTTTATAACAGCGAACAATGTTATATAGTATATATATAGTACATTGATTAAACAATTTCCGCTAATCCGCAGTGATCCAGCACAGTATACCAACATTAGAACTAGAGTTGAGTTGGTTCCCCACCTACATGAAGCCAGAAGAACTGAGGCGGTTACACAGACCATACCTAAAACCAGTCCGGACAGGACCACACTCGGAGCCTATCTTTAAACCTGTTTACTCTCTGGAGAGATACGTTAGAAGGAAGGAAAACGTGGGTTTCGAGAATAGTTATAGTATTCTTTTAATGGGTATAATTAGTTGTTTTCTAGTTCCTGTTATTTGAAACTTATTGGCCTATTTTAAACCCTCTCTTAAAAATTTCATGCACTAAATTATAGATACGAGGAGATGAGGTAGCTAAATGGAATCATTATTCAGGTAGCTGGATAGTAATATCATTAACGTAATTGTCACTATATCAGGAGAGAGAAGCAGAGCGACAGAAGTCAGGAGGAGGGCAAGTGTTCTTCATGAGGACCCGTGAGGACATATCAGCGAAGGACGGCAGGTTGGTGCTGTTCGAGTACGCGGAGGAACACCCACTGCTAATGAGCTGTATTGGCATGGCCAGCAGGATCAAGAACTACAGCAAGAAGGGTATAAACGGGGATCCTGTGAATTGTGATCACTTGAAGTATGGAGATCAAGTGTACAATACCAGCCCTTATTTCCTGGGAAAGTTACATCCTGGTCAGGTTCTACAGGTAAAAAGTATTCTTAACTTCTGTTTCTTGTTAAAGGTAACTACCGTTATTCCACTTCTCTCTTCCTCTAACTTACTCCCTGACACTTATTATTGCGGTATAGCTGACAACTTACTATTTGCAGGTGCTTGATAACAATATGTACCAGTCAGCTGCCCACCAACACTCTATCCCACATACTGACTTCATCCTGGCGCGCACTGCTGAGAGTTTCTACATCAGGATGACCGACGATATCTTCACTGTGGGTCAGCAGTTCCCTAAAATACTGGTTCCAGGTCCTAATTCTAAGAGAGCTAATCAACACACTAGAAACTTCCTTCAGGTTTTTATACCGTTCATTCTTAACTTTTGTTTCTATTACCCTCTGGGCGAGCAAATAATTTGAACCGAGATGTTTTGCTATGGCATATTTTATAGTGTTTTATTGTACCCCTAATTTTCTTTCAATATGTCCCAGGTACAGGGCCGTGGAAATTTGATTGGGATTGTGTCATCTGGGTGTAGTGATTTATATTGTATATTATATAATATCTTCTACCTGCTCAGGTGTTCATCTACCGCCTGTTTCTGGAAAGTGAGGATGTGCCAAGAAGGATCAAGATGGATCACATCAAGGCGGCATTTCCAGCGTACTCTGAAAGTAGCATTAGGAAACGTCTCAAGAACTGTGCTGACTTCAACAGAACAGGTGGGCAATTTAAACCTATTTCAAACTGAATGTGATGTCCTGTACTCATAAACTGGTAGTTATAAATAAATGTGTGCTTTAATATTTCATATCAACTGATCCTATTGAATATAGGAAGTGACTGTGGTTGGTGGGTACTTCAAGACATGTTCAGACTACCAAGCGAGGAAGAGATCAGGAAACTGGTGATACCCGAGGACTGCTGTGCATTCTACAGCATGCAGTACGCAGAGCAACGTCTTAAGGACGCAGGGTACGGCAAAAGTATCAAGAACTTGTCGGATGAGGAGGATGAGGATGATTCTGAGAAGATTCTAGATGATGAAGTTCGCATTGCTCCCTGGACCCTTACCAGAACCTTCTCTAACGCTCTCAGAGGTGAAATATACGCTTATATTATTTACATTTCAAACACACCTATTCTAATAATGAATTTATTCACTGCGATTTGAGTTAAAAAGTAATAAATGAGTTGTTAACCAAACTGCTCAGGAAAATGCCAGCTGGAGATAAACGGAATAGCAGATCCGACTGGTATTGGCGAAGGTTACTCGTATCTCAGAGTCCCTAACAAACCCTCTATTAAGAGCAACAAGGACGTCTCCAAAGCAAAACCCAGCAAAACAGACGAGCCCAAGTCCACTCGGACAGTCATGGGAACAGACTCCGATCTGAGGCGGTTAACACTGAAGAATGCTCGGGAGGTGCTCCGAAGTTTCGGAGTAGCTGAAGAGAAGATAAACACAATGATGAGGTGGGACGTGATCAATATGGTGAGGAAACTGAGCACTGACAAGGCTAGGATGGGAGAGGCAAATGATACTGGGAAGTTTGCCAGAGGAGCCAAATATTCCCTCATTGAGCACCAAGAGAAATATAAAGACGAGTGTCAGCGGATATTCGACCTACAAACTAAGTGAGTTCTTTAATTTGATATTTAATTACTAGGATTATTGAAGTTAGAGGTATTGTCGCAGTCAAAGATTGTAACTGTTTTACTTCATGACCAGTATTCACTTGATCGGCAATAATCATAACCTCTAAAATTTTAAATTTCAGGGTTCTGTCTTCTATAGAAGTTTTGAGTACAGATGACGAGGCATCATCCGACGAGGAGACCAACATAGACGAACTTGGTAAGGATCTGGAGAGCATGTTGAACAAGAAGAAGACGATGGAGCAGATAAGTCAGGAACGAGAGGAGGCAGAGAGACGAGACCTACAGAAGCTCCTGAACCAGGATACACCCCACCAACCCTCCACTCCTCCAGCTCCTGATAAACAGGAGGACATACATGCTGATGAAACAGGAAGACGGCTGATCATCAGGAGGAAATTTAGCACGGACACTGGGTACTACTTCCGGGAGGAAGTAATCTCCAGACCGGAGGTGATAGACGCTTATCTGAAGATAAAGGAGACTGCTGATAAGACCAACAAGAGGTTCCTTATCGATAACTTGGACGAGGAACAGAAGGACGAGGTGAGGAAGGAGAGGAGACGAATTCAGGAGCAGCTCAGAAGACTCAACAGGGCTCAAGGTTTGTAACAGTTTATTGTTTTATCCCCTTTCGTATCGATATCTGCATTATAATTATACATCCAAATAACGGAGTAGTTCGCTGTTTATTAGTCTCATGATTGAAATACTGATATCTGGATATTATCCGGTTGGAAGAGACAAGGACAAGTGAAACAAGGAAGTTAGGAGTAAGGGCAAATTTTCGGCGTCAACGCCATCTTCAGGCTCAAATTATTTGTTATATATCAATCAAATCTTCAGGCTCAAATTATTTGTTATATATAACAAATAATTTGAGCCTGAAGATGGCGTTGACGCCGAAAATTTGCCCTTACTCCTAACTTCCTTGTTTCACTTGTCCTTGTCTCTTCCAACCGGATAATATCCAGATATCAGAATTATACATCCAGTATTTTAATTTAAGTTGGAAAGCTATCATGTTGTGAATGTTGTTGGTACACGGCCACAGTACAGAATCACTTTAAATGTCTATTCATTATAAATAGACTTTGTCGAACTGAACAATCCTCGTTCAGAGCGGGAGAGAATGAACGAGAAGAAATTGAAAAAAGCAGCAAAGGAGAAAGCACCCATAAACATGAGATGTGGAGCTTGTGGTGAAACAGGTCACATGAAGACAAACAAACACTGCAAGATGTACGGTAAGAGTGGACCTGTTACTGATGATCAGATAATTGACGACGAGCTGTCTAACGTGTTCAACGAGCAGACCTCTAGTCTGGTGAAGGTCGAGGACACCAAGATACGTATAGGACGAGCCTTCCTCGCTCAAGTAGATGAAGTGAGCAAGAAGGCAGCTAAAAAACAAGCACAGCAGAAGAGGCAGTTGGAACTGTCGATGGAGGAGCGTGCTGAAGCCAAGGCTTTAAGGAAGAAGAAGAAGTTGGAGAAAGCTGATAGAAAGATGGCTCAGAAAGCTGCTAAATCAGGACCCAAGGTAAATATTGTACTTGATCAGGGAAGTCTTAAATGTTATGATAATGTAATTTAGAAATAACGAGATGCTGACCATGTGAAGATTTCCGATATCACCGTTTCATATTAATTTTGCTTGAATACGATTAATATTACTTAAATTTAGCAGAGTTCTGAGCACCTCGATTATCTGGAACCTAAAGTAAAAGGAGTAAACAGAGCCAGGGTACACCCAGAGGTTGAACTTAGAACATTCTTTGAAGAACTGCTCGGAAAGATCAAAGAGATCCCTAGGGTTAGTAGACTTTCTAAACTTACGTTGATCTCATTTAAATGAGCTTCATTAAAAATCTAGTTTAATTACAAAATCAATTTTATAACTATTGTGAAAAATTGAGATATTTTACAAAATTTGTATGATAATTACAGTATAGTTAACTGAGACTAATTAATTAATATACTAACACAGCATCATGCTTCAGACAGGGGCGTTCCACAAACCTGTGTCTGCTAGAGAAATTCCTGATTACTACACTTTTGTCAGTATTCCTATGGATCTCCAGACGATGAGAAACCACTGCATCAACAATTTCTATCAGTCCAGGTAAGATCATATGTCCAGGGGACTCCAGGGGAATAAAAACTATGTGTACCCGTCAATTCAACCATACCTTAATGATTATTTAGAAACGACCTTTCATAAACTTATTCAATATTTTAATTTAACCACAGGGAAGATTTTCTGGAGCACTTGGAGCAGATCGTAAAGAATAGCACAATATACAACGGCAAACAGTCCGAGTACACAAAAGCAGCTGAGGGCATGTTGGACGTGGCCATGGCGGAGTTTTCTAGACACGAAGAAAAACTTCAGACTTTGGAGGAGAAGATCAACCCGGCCGCGAATAAGAGCACGCAGGTTTTTACACTTTTCTTGATCATTCTGAGCTGGAAACAAGACAAGTTGTGACGTGTGAACAATTCTGGCTGTGTATTTGTTTGTTTTTGTAATAGTTTATTTTTGTTCCAATAACTCATTTCCTCAGAACCAGTTCAACTTGATCCTGATCAGCAGTGTGGATGCTATGATTAAAGTCTCCAACTCTCAAGCATTCCATATTCCTGTGAACGCTAAAGTTGCTCCTGATTACTATCAGGTGATTTTTACTGAATCCTTTTTATGATACATTCTTTTAAATTGAAAATTCATGACCAGATGAGTTACTATTATTAAATATAAGTCTTTTTGATGTCTGTATACTTAATTTTATACACATATGTAATTCTGGTAATTAGCAGTTGTTTTGTCTAGATTAATGAAATCTAGTTACACACACATATTTAAGGTGATATCGACTCCAATGGATATCTCCACATTGCGTAAAAACTTAGAGAAGAACAAGTATAAATCTCGAACGGAGTTCCTGAAAGACGTAACACTTATTTTTGAGAACAGTCAGCAGTACAATGGTAAACATCATAATGATGAATGAACCATATCAGTTTTTGTCCATAGCTGTCTATAAAAATTGAAATTATTTTCCGACTAGAAATATTGAAATTTACAACTTTTTAATTTTACACCAAGAGAATGAGTATCGTACCCGGTTATTCATGATGTATGATCCACACCAGGTGCCGACTCTTTGTACACGAAGAAAGCAGAGGAGCTGCTTTCCAAAGCAAAAGAAGTTCTCAACGCTTCAAGCACAATCCTACAACAGCACGAAATGTTGTTATCATGTGAAACTTCTATTGCCAGTCCCAAACACGTGCCGGTCAACATTCCAAAACCTCTACCAGCAGCAATAGCTGCAATATCGGGCATCTCAAAAGGAAGTCCTGAGAGTGTGTACAGTGGACGGGTGGAGGATGAAGAGAGTGATCAGATGAGTGAAAGTGAAACATTTAACAGCTCCGGACAGAAGAACAGATACGACAGTACGTGTCTGGAGGAGGAAGGCCAGGCCGGCCACACCCTCTTTGAGGATCTTATGGACAGTGAAGATGATTCTGACTGAGCTTTTTAAATTGTCTTGTTAGGGTTTTCACCTTTGATTTAAGGCTAAGAAATTGGTATTCGTTGCTAAAATTGGGGACTAATTTGGGGCTTGCAACGAATCGGACGAAAAGAATATCTTGTGTCACATTGAGAATTTTACTATTGTGGTTGTGAACTTGAAGGTTTGCATTTTTTCGTGAAGCTTATAGCTGTGAATCCGTTTTATACAGTTGTGAACTCTAGTATTGTGAACATGTCAATAATTCGATCTTACTGAAAGCTTAAGCTATAAATGAGTAGGCCTCATGTAGCCGGTGGGCCCGACATGATACGACATATCTCGACACGTCGGGGTTTGTCGGGATATGTCGGGGTTTGTCGAGCCTGGAGGCTACATGATGCCTTAAAAGATAGATTATCCTACTCGAACAGTTTAAACTTTTAAATCAGTTTTTGCACATCGTTGTACTATTTTAATCTTTAGTCAAAGCGAAAAGTTCGAGCACTACCGTATCGAAGGTAGAACGTTATAATAATCTAAAGGCTCTACAGTTTCGTTGCGAAATAAATTGATAATTACTATTTACTACTTACAAAGAACTTTGAGGTCAAATGTATGGTGGCCTTTCAGAGGCCATATGGTGGCTTCTAGACGGCTTCTTCACAGCAGTATGGTGGCCATACCTAATCACTCATTATTCTCTGATTTCCTATTTGACTTACGGTTACTGCAAAAAATTAACAACAGAACACATTTGATCTGATATGATTTTTTATTGAGTATAAAAGCTCTTCATTACGGTGCTAAATACAAATATTCTAATCGGCTGTATAATGTATATTCGGCTGTGAAGGAAATTTTTTGATGCTATAAAAACTGACTACCAAAGAATACTATTATCTTCCTCCCTGTGAAGCTGTGACCACAGGCATTCTAGTATCTTACTATATATAAAGCGAGACGATATATATATGGACAGATGGATGGATGGATCCGTGCCATTTTACTGACACCACGGCATCAAATTTAACACGACTTCCCGCAAAAACCGTAAAAGATACTAAGATACACAACTGAACTTTTTTGACTGGGTCAAATGCTTTAATGGCCTTCAAATCAGCATGGAAAAATAAAGACTTCGCCAAAGAATAAGAATTTTAGTGCCCAAAATTTGGACTCCTAAGTGGTGTCAAAAACGCGAATTAAATAGGTAATAATTATTGTAGTCTCTCAGGTCTTGACACCACTTTTAGGTTAGACGGGTTCCTGCTAGTATTATATATAATATACCTTAATTCCCAAAAATTTGGGCGACAAAAAACTTGAACGGGCCTCTCGCCCAAATTTTTTGCAGACCAAATTAATTGCATAAATCTTTTTCGTGTGCTAAATTTTTTGCTAACCAAACTTTTGGCATTTGGCTTGTGGCCCTGAAATCTATAGAAAGATGGCTTTTTCTTCATATCCAAGTGAAATAATATTTGAAATTTTAGTTTTCTAATCTGTCATTCATGGCTTGACCAATACAAGTAAAAAGGCTTATATTTTAAATGAATAGAAATAACTGGAATAGCTAACAGAGCCTACTAATAAAACAAATGGCTAGAGGTACGGATAACTAGAGATTTAAACAAGATCTGCAAATGGATTATCATCCACCGTAAAGTCTGATCTACAAGCATCAGTTATACCCGACTTCTCAAAGCCTTTTCCTTATGTCATCTGGCCTCTCTTTTAAATATACAAAAAGTTCGTTGATCCAACGAGCGTGTACTTCACGGATCACTGTCAAGCGGGTATCAATTTAACAATTTATCATCACTGTATTTTTTAGTAGTTACTGGGCAGATCGTAAATTTCATAATGTGAAACAACTCAGACTACCACCTAAATGCTTAAAATTGAAAGCAAAATGACTGGAATAATAAGGAATAATAATGAACTAAGGCAAATATCTAACTGAAATTTTAGTGTAAAATCGTTCATTTTTCGAAGAATTTGTGCCCAAATTTTCGGTCGCTCAAATGAGTTCAAATTTTCTGCCCAAATTTTTCGGGCTCAAATAAATTGTGCTCAATATAATGGCACACAAATTTTTGGGAACTAAGGTACATACATTGTGTCATAATTTCAATGTTCCAAATTATATTTTAAATGTTCAAAAAAATTTTAATTTTTATTGTTAAAAAATTATGACACAATGTTAAAATATTCAGCATGCTGCACAGAAACGTGATAAGTGTAGTGTCGTTACTGTTGGTTCACTCCTCCCAATCTTATGATGAACTACCTCACACCGCTCTAGATAAAGTACCTGCTGTCCTTGGAGAATCTGTTCAGCTCAGGCAATTATTGTTACTTTTAGATAATTAGGCACAAAAGAGTCAAGGACTAGGGTAACCAATCTTGTTGTTTTTTCTATATTATTATAATAATAATAATTCATTATTGTAGCTAATGTACGCTTGGCTCCTGTCGTATGCATGTCAACATACAATTTGCTTGGCCATTTTAGGGCTGCGCTTAAATTTCCACTCTCAACGAAAAACACACAGCATAATATCATTATCCTTCTATATCAATTATCAACTATCTTTGTAAACTAGTGTTTTGAAAGATAGGCAAAAGCATCCAGGCCCACATTTCCCCTACCTCATTAACCTACCTCATTAACTTTGCCTACCCTTTCCTTCAATTAGGCTGCCTTTGACAGAATGTCATTCATGAAAAGGGTTTTATTTATTAAGTTTTATTTTTCAATTTCCACTCGTTGCTATTATCATTATATCTTGTAAAATTGGCTAAAATATAAATTCATTTGTTTATTTTTTAAATATTACCAATAAAAAGCTGAATCACACAATCCTTACCTTGCAATATCCTCAGGTGCACCAAAATAATAAAAAAGTATTCGGACGACTACAGCCAACCAGCGGACTGCAACAACTATGGTCATTCCTGCAAACATGTCTGGACGAGAAATGATGAAGAGCTCACCCCGGGTGCTAAATACAGTTTTAAAAGCAGTCTTACATTTAATTACTGTGAGACATTTGAATGGACCACTAATATCGTGAACAGCATGAATATTGCAGCAGTTCGGGACAAAGATAATGACTACTACCGGAACAGAGATATGGAGTGCTTTGCATCGGCCCTCACTATAACAAACGTGACCAAGGACGACCTTGGTGAGTATGAGTGCAAATTGACTGATGATCAGGAAGAGACTGGAATATACGATGTTCGGAGAATCACATTGGTTGAGAGTGTGCTTGAAGGAGCCCTCCCTGAAAAGATAGAGTATTTTGAAAACTTTTACACCCAGAGGATCAGATCTAAATTGTTGATGCAGTGTGTTGTGACAGGGGGACCTGTTTATTGGTTTATCAGATTTGATTCTGACCAATGCAGAATATGGGAAGAACAGTACAATAGTAAGAAGAGTAACCAGTTCAACTCTTGTGTGAATGACACCATTCAGCCCATTGAACAGATCAGTAAAATGGAAAATTGGCGTTGCTTTAATTACAGCATTGAGCATCACAACCCATATGGTCTTGATCAAGTCACCGAATCCTTCATTTACTTCCAAAACATATGTACACTGGACTTGGCTGGAATATACTGCAGTGCTGACCCGGAAGGTACAGTCAGGTCCGAACAGGGTGTACTTGTTAATATCAAGGACGAGTGGGAAAAGTATTACTACGATTGGCATACCCTGTCTGTGTTGGGTTATGTGGTGATGCCTATCGTAATCGGTATTTTCTTCTTAGTAGGCACGATTGTAGCGGCTGTCCGGGGTAAAGTGTGTAACCGCTCATGCTGTGGAGGTGAACAAGGTAATTATACGACCATGCCAAATATTCCTCAATCCCTGCATTATGCAGTTCCCGCCCCTCAGGCTTTGCAGCCTCCTCGCAGTTACATGGTCCCTCAGCCTCCACAAAGTTACACGGTCCCTCAGCCTCTACAGAGTAACATGGTCCCTCAGCCTCCACAGAGTAACATGGTCCTTCAGCCTCCACAGAGTAACATGGTCCCTCAGCCTCCACAGAGTAACATGGTCCCTCAAGCTCCTCCTAACACGGTCCCTCAAGCTTGGGTCAACCCTCAGGATGATTAACTTCTCCATGGCCCTTGGATCGCCTGACTTCATGATTCATTTACAACTTACCTTAGATCCATTGCTATGAAGCATCTTGGAGCATTCAGAAACATTTTGCAAAACCGCTGTCTTTATATCTTTATACATGTATAAAGATAAAGACAGCGGTTTTGCAAAATGTTTCTGAATATGTATATATTCACAAAATTGTTAGGTGGTAGGACCTGAACATTGCACTTATTGAGTTACGACCTACCACAATCAGATGGTTTTAGAATTAGAATTAGCATGAGTGTTGTGCGCCGTAAAGGCTAAAACAATCATATTGTTCTTATTTAGCTGAATTTGTATTTAAGTTTAGCTCGTTTAAAGTCCGTTTTAAAGAACATGATTTTTACAACACTGTTGAATATGCAATGATTTTATCATATTATTAAAACTAGAATTAGACTAGAATTATATTTAACTATACAAACTACACAGCGAATGATTCAACGATATTACTAAATAATATTATTGTGTTTTCAAAATTAATCATCAAAATTCTGATCGGTTCAGAATAGTACACAGTACATATAATATACATATTGTATTACCATCAATCAAGAGCAGTTTTTAAAATGTAATTGAAGTACTAATCCTATAGAAATCAGAGAATCATAAATTCTCTGATTTCAGCACAAAACATAATTTGTTGTTATAGCAGCAAGACAGTGGTTAATACTACTTCAGATTTATTTTCGAGCTATTTATGAAACAAGTTATGCGATGAACACTCAACGGGCAGATTTCCAGCTACATACTTTAAGTTCTAGATTTGGAAAAATGCCATCTCTTGAGCATGTCCTCATTGTATTAGCTTAGTACACAGTGTATCAAGTCCGAATTAATTAATTACATAATTTATCGTAAGTTCGTAAGCTTAGTCTCAAAGTGTTAAAACTGAAATGTTTGATTTTTATTTTCCATAATTTTAGTTTGAGCTTTGAATTTAAGTTTATTTTCTGAATTTTGATTAGTGAAGTTTTTATGCTTAATTTTTATTGTAGCTGAATTGGAAATTATCAATACGGGTATATGGCCCCCAGAATATAGGTCGTTTTTTGAGCACTTAGAAACAGGTGTTAAAACTACTTCTAAGCATGTTTAGGGCTGTAAATATGTACATAATAACCCTTTAAATGTTTCTTGGGTAGTTGAAAATAATTATTAGGTTTTTAAGTGTACTTTTTTTTCACCTGTAAAAATACCATTTTTTAACAGGGCCCCCAGAATATAGGTCCAAACATCTGTTCCTAAGTTGTTCTAAAATTGTCACAGACAGTTATATGCAGTCAGAATATGTTGCTGAGACTGTATTGATGATGCCAATGGCTCCAGATACTAAATTGAAATGGTTTAGAGTATACTTAATAGCAAAAAATCAAAAACTACGGCCCCCAGAATATAGGTATGCAAAAATCGTCCTCAAATACTCCACCTTCATACATTTTGATGATGCCATCTCTTCAGCATATGTTCTTTAACTGTTTCTCATCACTACCCCACATTCCTTAATGCTCAGGGTGACAGAGAAAATGCAGAATCTTGGTCGCTATTTTTTTTTAAAACCTATATTCTGGGGGCCATATACCCGTGATGAGTAAAATCTTTAATTTTACTTGTTTAAAAGCTTTCATGCACTCATTTAGTAGGGATCTTAACTAAATACTTAAATAAGATTGAAGGAGTGTCCCTAGATATGATTGAGGGGGGCTGTTTTTATCTGTATCAATACAATGTGCACCTCAATGACTGTAAATCAGACATTTTTGGCCGCCAAATTTTTTTAAAGGCCTAACTCAAAATTCTGTCCCAAAACTTAAGGTCATGAGACAATTCTACGTTGATTCTGAAAATTTCATGTGAAAATATTGAAACCCTATTGAGTTCTATTGTTTTGAGCGAAGTCAGTTTGAGATATGGGCGATTTTGTTCATTTTTTGCGATTTTTTGAACACAGAATCCACAGTTAGGTAGATATTGAGCTGATAATCATAGAGAATGTGTAATATATGCTTACCTTCCATATAAAGTTGGTTTCATTCAAAAATATTGATATTTGACCAATTTATGGACCAAAATCGATCAAATTTGGTGCGTATGCCCAAATATGGGCATATGGTTTTTGTTTTTATCCCATAACTCGGCCAATTTTTATCCAATTTTGATAAAACTTGATATGTGGGTTCAGGAGACTAGTAGCTACAAGTAGAGCATCCCAAAGCATGGTTTTGGGCATGTTCAGGGTTTTTGACCAACCTATATTCTGGGGGTCGTATAGACCTATATTCTGGGGGCCCGTAAAATTGTGGTGGCCATAACTTTTTTCCAAATTGTCAGTTTGCAGATGTCTCGATGAAAAGATATCTTAAAATAATACTTATACTCATACCAGTAGTCTTAATGGCATGTGTTGGACAGATTTTTGTCATGACAATTTTTCGCCATATTTACCCCTCTAGAAAATGACAACATCGTTTAAATCTTTCGCTGTCATGACCAAATATACCAAAATACCTCATGTAGGTCCAAAATTTTTATCCAGAAACATAAGTTACATGTTTTACTCCAACCTAGCAGTAACAGATCCCATTAGTATCGCTTATCTTGGTTAGAAATGTATCCACTAACATGACCTATATTTTGGGGGCCACCTATATTCTGGGGGCCATATACCCGTATCTATAATAATGAAATTCTTGTAGTGTACTTGTCGTGATTAATCGAAGTTTTACAAATATCGAACTAGAAAAACGGCATTTAAAATTCAAATCTTGACAGTGTTGAAAATTGTAAGGGCTAATCACAAAAGTTTGAAAATGACAATTAACTTATTAATTGGACGATTTGGTTGTTTCTTCTGACTTCTTCTGATTCATCCTCATCTGTGTACTTTTTGATCCATGGATGATCTAACGCAAGTTCAAAATTTAATACCATAGGATCTCTAGAGTAATAGATGAATGATCGCAACCGGACTGTAAATATTTTAGATCTTACTAAAAAGCATTATTTTCCTTCATAAAATAGTCAATTTCAAAATAAAATTTACCAGCTGCGCACTGCGGATAAACTATATAATTATTTAATGGTCTCGACAATTATCAAACTGTCCCCAGATGAACTTGAAAAACTTTATAGATAACTATTGTGGTCATATTTGGAATTCGATCTTTGCATAATATATTTAAGTACCATTTTCGGGCTTTAGTATTGACGATATATTTTCAAGCATAAGTTATCTTTTAGCTCAGTATTCATGCTTTCATGATATTTTCTGGGATGACTACAGTAGTTCAAACATTGCTGAGTATAAGTTTTATCTCAAAAGCGGTGTTATCAAATTTCAATTTATTATTATCAGCCTAAAAGAGGCATCATGTAGCCGGTGGGTCCGACATGATACGACATTTCTCGACACGTCGGGGTTTGTCGGGGTTTGTCAGGGTTTGTCAGGGTTTGTCAGGATTCGTTAATAATGGATGAAAAGTGATTAGAAGTTGCCTAAAGAAGATTGATCAATGGCAGTCACGGGCTGTTGATGAGGCTTGTCTTGTCTTGTCAATGATAAGTATGCATGGGGCTAAAAGTTTGACCTACTTTTTTTTTTTTCTTTTTTTTTTGTTGGTTGGTGCAGCACCTAAGGCCTCATGTAGCCGGTGGGCCCGACATGATACGACATATCTCGACACGTCGGGGTTTGTCGGGGTTTGTCGAGCCTGGAGGCTACATGATGCCTATGAGTGATTAACTATCAAATTTATGCATGAATTTTACTTTTTCAATACTTTTTAAAACTTTTCACAATGATCAACGCACACTCTAACCTGCTCATGATAAATTATTATTCTCTAGAGTCTAGGTAACAGCATTATAAATAATATAATATAATGATCGCCGTAAAATGGTGAAAATAGTTTTCGGTATCATTAACTATATATAATAATGTAAAATAAATTTATTCTGGAAAAGTATGCTGCACAAGCAAACTGCAGATTACCTTTCAACTTTGCTTTGTTCATTCCGAGATATATACTTTTTAAACAATGCAATTAGTGGATATATATAATTCGTCTCGAACTTGAAATTAGTGTTGATTCTTAACAATATTTCCTGAGATTAATCCTTTTTGAATATCAAATATTTGGTTTCTAGTACTCGTGTTCTCAAACTTGTTGGTGAATTTCTTTTGCACCTACTCTAATTGTAATCATTGGTTTGAGAGTGTTTTTTTCATTCTTTGATTGTCGATACATTTTTCTGACATGAAAACATCTGAGCTAGTATGTAAAAATGTGAGGTGAAGTTTAAAAGCTCATGGATTGCCCTCCAGCTCTCAGTTCAGAGGATGAAGACGATGACTTTGGGGATTTTACTACAGTATTTGAAAAGAGTGTGGCTGCAGAAGGAGATGCAGTGAAAAGCAGAATAAATGTTGGCATATCCCTCAGTTCTGCCGCAAATGATCCTTTCCAAATTCCACCTAGACCGGATTATTTTTCGATTGAAAGTACAAGTTCAACTCCACCCGAGCTACCCCCATCTTTACCTATGTCTCCCGAAACGCCTGATGTCAACTTCTTTGCTTTTCAAGATTCGGGTCGAAAATCACCAGTTATCAGTGACCCATTCACAGATGTCCCCCCAGTGACACATGAGGGAGATGGATTAGAAAAACATGACACTGGTCTGTTTCACGCTGGTTCGTTTGAAATGGCGAATCAGGAAAATGATGGTGCGCTTTTGCCTCAAAGCAACGATCTTTTCGCAAACCAACCATCTGATTTCTTCCACATTGGAGATAGTCATGAAAACAGTGGAACCGAAATTGAAAATTTCGATGTTCAATTTACTGATTTTTCAAATCAGACGGACTTAAAACAAGTTGATGATGATAATGCTGTCAATCCTGATTCCAATAATGATGCAGACATGGAGTCGGATGACACTGCATCTTTAAAAACTCTTGGCGATAGTCATAGTGCTGATTCTTTCGCTTGCATTGAAGAAAATTCAACCGAGATTACAACCACAGCTGCAAATTCTGCTGATAAAGTTTTTGGCGAACAAGAATTTGTACCAAGTTTTAACATAGAAACTCCATCACCGCTTCAAGCAGCCCAAGGAGAAAAATCAGTATTTTCATGGGATAGTTTTGAGGAAAACAAGGACAAGTTTGTTGAAGAAACTGACAAAGCTGAGATTGGCGATCAAGACAGTGAAGCTCAAAAGGTTGAAGATATACCGGATAAGTTTGCACTATTCACCGATGAGGAGGACGGGGTCGACAACTCATCTGGAGGGCAGTTTGCTTCTTTTTCAGAGTTTGAAGACACCCCAGCTGCTGATAAAGAAGCACCATCTTTTAGTGATGACAAGCAAGAATCTGAAGTTGTAAATCAGAAGACTAATTCTGTGAACAGCAGTAGTAGCCTCCCCACCGATAATGACTCTGATGAATTTGCAAACTTTAGTGTTTGTCCAGGGGAGAATGAGATCACAGTTGATTCGGATAAGGAGTTTGCTGCTTTTCCTGATCATGATGACGAAGAGGCTGATAAAACATTGCATGACCAAGATGATCATGTCAGTAATGAGAGTGCTGTATTGTCTGGATTTGCTTCATTTCTTGAGAAAGATAACCCAGATGAAGAGCAGTTTGCTTCTTTTTCAGAGTTTGGAGGAACCCCAGCTGCTGATAAAGAAGCACCATCTTTTAGTGATGACTGCCAAGAATCTGAAGACGAAGTTGTAAATCAGAAGACTGATCCCCTTAACAGTTGTAGCAGCCCCCTTAACGATAGCGTGGATGATTTCTGCGATTTTGCAGAGATGGAGCAAAAGCCGTCTTCCACAGAAATTGCAAGCTTGTCCGATAAAGTAGATACAGATGGCTTTGCTGATTTTGCAACCGGAGGCGATGATGAATCGACCAAAAACGAAGCATTAGGTGATGAAAATTTTGGAACCTTTGAAGACTTTGGAGCAAAATCAGACGATGGAGATTTTTCTGATTTTAAGGAAACAGATAACAGAGACTTTTGTGACTTTGGAGAGTTCGACAGTAAATTACGAGCAGCTTCAACGACTCCAGAAGTTGATGATGATTTTGGTGACTTTGGAGACTTCGACTCTAAATTACCAGCAGCTTCAACGACTCCAGAAGTTGATGATGATTTTGGTGACTTTGGAGACTTCGACACTAAAATACCAGCAGCTTCAACGACTCTAGAAGTTGATGATGATTTTGGTGACTTTGGAGACTTTGATACTAAAATACCAGCAGCTTCAACGACTCTAGAAGTTGATGATGATTTTGGTGACTTTGGAGACTTCGACTCTAAAATACCAGCAGCTTCAACGACTCCAGAAGTTGATGATGATTTTGGTGACTTAGGAGAATTCGATACTAAATTACCAGCAGCTTCAACGACTCCAGCAGTTGATGATGATTTTGGTGACTTTGGAGACTTTGACACTAAAATACCAGCAGTTTCAACGACTCCAGAAGTTGATGATGATTTTGGTGACTTTGGAGACTTCGACACTAAAATACCAGCAGCTTCAACGACTCCAGAAGTTGATGATGATTTTGACGATGAATTTGCTGACTTCGGGTCGCCTCAAGAGCAACCACCTCCAACTGTTAAACTGGAAGTTAAAACTGGACCTCTATCATTAAAAAAGGTATAGGAAATTTAGAACCTAGTTACCCATAGTCAAACAAATAGCCTGTAAAACGTTTTTCTGTCATAAAATAAGATTTACGTAACTGAAACATTTCTGTTGCTGGACAGCTTATCAAGACTTCAAAATTTCATTTATCTGTTGCAGATGATACATGAGTGTTACGGTGGATCCAACACAGATGGAAAGAAAGAAGTCAGTCCAGGAGTTTACTCTGATGGCCAGTATGTTTGCTTCTAGTCACACAATTTTAAACTAATAGTAGGCTGCTTTACATAACAATACGACGCTAATAGGTACAGTAATTGTAAGATAAAGTGTGACCTCAATAACATACAGATCTACAGTTCAGTTTCTCTCCAGGTTGTTTATGGGTGTAGTGTACGAGACAGATGCTCAGTTTGCTGTAAGCACCAAGTGGCTAACTACTCCCTCCTTTACCACCTTGGTTACCACCCTGTGCTTGTCTGCTAACAGTGTCCTTCCCACCTCCAAGCCCAATAGTCAGGTAAGCTGTTATAACATGGTGTCTTGTTCTTATTGGACGTTTAAATTCTTATTTTCTTTCCGATTTATTTAAATATTCGAATTATACCTATAGATGTGACTGTCCCTAACTTGGGTAATATTGATGCTATTATATTTCTTAATGGTACTAGAGTGTCCCTATTCACTATTGTCGAAGAATGTGAGCTGACGAAGGTGAAAAGCATATTGCTGTCGGAAGTTAAATGCATGCATTACCTGCCAATATTGACAAAATTTTAATCTGTAGCAAAGAGTTTACACTACCTTCATACTAGGTAAAACAGGGAGTTATAGAAGATGAGTTCAGTGTGTTTGGTAGTGTGGATACTACTGACACTTCCAACAAGCTCTCTGCTGGACTCCTTCCTGAGGACCTATCTCAATCTTCTACTCCTGCTCCTTCCAAGTTAGTTCCAGGCAGGGTTAGACAAATAAATAGCTGTGCAACTTTTCACCACTATTTAGTTATATTTATGATAATTGCTAGAAGTAAGACATGATTTTTAACTCTGAGAAATTAAATGAATATCCCTGCAGGAAGCACGCAGATATACTGTCAGGATACAAAAAGGAGCAAGCCAAGGAGCTGAGCTCTGAGGCTGCAGCTATTTTAGACTCTCTTCCTGATCTTAAGTTTATGTTATCTTCTGTACTCATGTTCCCTGTCAAGGCTTCATGATAATTCTCATTGTCACGTGGTATCACGTGTTTTTTGTTTGTTTTAGTTCCGAAAGATGGGAGTATAGTTTAAAAGTTGATTTAATTTGCGCAGGTTTACGTTAACAGAATTTTGATTATTATAATGGAATAATTTTGATGGAATATTTTGTACAGCCGACATTTAATTTATAAAACTTAAAGCTTCGTGCCGTATGAGTTCAGAATACTTCTTGACTGATTGTATATTATTGACGTTGATTTTGTTTATAACCATTAAAAACAAAAATATATTAAAGCAATTTTTTATCTAATAATAACCTATTTTTACTTGAATAAGCACTATACATTTTTGCCAAATTGTATCAAATTTCTCACTACAAAGCTACAAGTTGTACGTAGCGGAATCATTTGAATTATAATTTGCAGTTCGAACAAATTTCATACATATTTTATAGATTAGTGATACAGTATGGCAAAAGATCAGAGCCCCTCGCCAGAAACGATACGCAAGAAGCTAAAGAAAGCAAAGAAGAAAGAAACAGAACTTTCAAAGGTTTCTTATTTAACTATCTTGAGACATTACTATTTACCATGCCAATGAGCGATCAGCTACTTGATGAAATCTGATTAAATTCATAACTTTAACAACATTCAACTGCAGGACGGATCAGATAGCGAGGCAACTTTTGCAAAGAAAAAGAAAAAGAAGGAACGATACTACAGAAAGAAAGACGAGTCAGATGATCCAGAATCGACAAAGGTGGGAACTTCGTGTTTTAATCTTTCATTTTAGGTTTTGAAATTGTTAACATCATTCTGAAGCCGTAATTATTTCAGCATGAATTTAATTATCATTCTCCGCCTAACAATGATTTTGTCAGGACAAGAAATCAAAAAAGAAGAAAAGAGCAGATTCTGGCTCTCCAGAAGACAAGAAAAGGAGGAAGTCCCCCAAACGTCCCTCTCCCTCCAGATCTCCAAAGAGAAGGTCCAGATCCCCAAAACGCAGATCCAGATCCCCACGAAGGTCTCCTCCTCGACGCAGGTCCCCCTCTCCAAGACGCAGGTCCCGCAGTCCTATCAGACGGCCCTCGCCTCACAAACGCAAGCGGTCTAGGTCTCCTCGTCGCTCTAGGTCTCCTCGCCGCTCCAAATCACCTAAAAGACGTTCGAAGGAGAGAAGGAAAGAGAGGAAGAGGAGTAAGGAAAGGCGATCAAAAAGTAAAGAGAAACGATCTGGAAGTAAAGAAAAACGGGCAAAAAGTAAGGAAAGGAAAAGCAAATCTCCCGAGAAAAAGAGAGCCAAAGACAAATCTCCTAAAAGGTAGCCTTATCATCGAGATTATTTATTTGTATTTAAAATACATTTGTTCTGCTTCAGACTTATAAAATACAAAATTTAAATTTAAAGTATCTCAAAAATTAACCAGATACACAATATTTAATTAACTGTAGAATAATCACTATTCTCCCTCAGGAAGTCCCGCAGTAAATCATCAGGCTCCTCGTCAGGATCAGACTCTCCAACTCGCTCTAAACTTTTAGCCAAAAAAGTTGCAGAGCGCAAGAACGAAGCGGACAAATTCCAGTCTGAAATGGAGAAGGAGATGGAGAAACGAAAGGAACGTATTGAGGCATGGAGAGCGGAAAGAAGAAAGAAGACTAACCCAGTGGACCCTGCAGTCGAAATTAAGGTTTTCAATTTTTTCAATTACTCTGAATGGAATTTGGTGCACTTTTGTTTGGCCGTATAAATGAGAATAGTTCCTCAGCGTGAATAAATTAGCAATTTCAAACGGCATGTTATTTTGTAGCCGACAACAAAGATTTGGTCTCTTGAAGACGATGATGAAGATGAGGAAACTGTGCCTATACCTGACGATCTTAAAGATGATGAAATGAAGGAGGACAACCAAGATGCAGACGTTAGCATGTTTTATTTGTTTACTTTTATTTTTACATTTACAACCAGGAAAACATCATTAAGCTTCAAGTTTTAGTGCTAACTTAGGATTACTCATATGGGGAGTACTACAGATGGCATTCTATCACACATTACAACGTATATTGAATGTAAAGGAAGTTACACTCTAATAACACAGAAATACCCTCAGGACCGACCGCAAACCGGCTGATTCAGTGAAACCTGAATCAAGCCTTGATCTGGCCTCATACCTCTTAAATCTTACTTGCAATTCATATCTGTCCTTGAAACATTGCCCCTGTGTGTGTTGAAAGTTTTCTGAGTAGTAGCTAGGGTTAACTAGTTTATAAGATCTCGGTTAATTAACTATTTGCAGATGTCTTGTAACACGAGGTTTGACGTGGAACTTGTGGTGGTATGACGGTTTGTATTGGCCACTAATTTCATTACTCACACTGACCACCCCCAATATCATACCACAGATATCATCACACAGACTCATTACATTTCCTACATCATTACGTGTCTATGTGCAATGCTACATCGTGATGATATGCCGAAAGAGGCCCAATGGCTGACCAGTCCACCTATAAGATGATTGTCGCAGCTTCGCCAGCTTATAACCCCGTTACACACCACAATTCAACCCCACATTTTGTAAGCCCTCTTATTGGTTACAGATTTCGTTTCCTCTACACAGTTATCTCTCTGCAGGATGAGTCAGAGGTGGATCCTTTGGAGGCTTTTATGGAGGGTGTTTCCTGTGAGATCAAAGCTGAGAACAAACAAACCAATGTTGTCAAGAAAGTTAAGAAATTGGTCAAGGTATGTCTTTCATATCATTTCTGAGCAAATCCTTAGCAACTCCACATGTTTCTTTCAACATTTCTGATGGTACAGATAGTTTAAGATTGATTCATGTTGTGTGGATAAGATTCTACCCACAGGGAAAAGAAGTAGAGGTTGCTGTCGCTAGTAAGGTTATAAAGGAGTCTAAAAAGAAGGGCGACCTGCTGGCTAACGATGCTGAAATGATGGAGTACTCTTCAGAAGACATTTCAGATGATGATTTGGACGATATGAACTACGCCGGATACAAAAACAAAAGACGGAGGGTGAGAGATCTTATATTTCCATCTTAAAGGCTATTGTATCCGTAGCAATTATCGTTTATGATGATTCATTCGTGTCCAAATTGTAGATAAATTGCCAGGGGCTCAGCGTGTACCGCTCGGTCACGCTTAGTTTTGTATGCTTTTGTAACCGGCGAAGACATTTTGCTGCATATTATGTCGTTGTTCTGCGCGCATCTGACGGATTGACGCGCGCGCGCGAACAGAATTAATGCATGTACGTGCGTGCTATTTTCTATTGTCACTTATTTGGCAGCCTATCAAAATATCAAATTTGGGTTGGTTTGATTGATTAATGATTTTTGCCTTTGACCAGGAGTTGGAGGCAACAGATCACACTACAATGAACTACGAAGAATTCCGGAAGAACTTTTACGTCGAAGTACCTGAGTTGGCCAGGATAACGGATGCTGAATTAGCAGACATCCACCTCTCGTTGGATAACATGCAAGTCAGAGGAAAGGGACCACCCAAACCCATCAAGACATGGATACAAGCGGGAATCAGTATGAAAATCCTCGGTGAGTCTGATTGACAAGTTAAACGGTACCACCGACCCACGCAAGTTCCTTTATTCGAATTGCTTGGCCGGTTGAGCAAGCCTGGTTATATTGGGAATTTGTTGCCAAACTTTTGGTAAATTTTGTCATGAAAGAATAGGAAAAATAAAAATTATATTTGGCTCAAAATAAATTTGAAAATTACAATAATTGGCACACTCAAAACAAATTTTCCGTACACTTATCTATATCAAAACAAATATTCCGAGAATCTTTACAGTATTCGTCCGCCATTCATCTTCAGTTTGTAATATTTTCAGTTGCACTTAGATTCTTAGAATGAGTAACAATCATTAGATTCAAACACAATTATTTTGGCAGTTTCTCACAGTCCAGTACCAATAATATTATGTAAGTGCTTGCAGCTTGGCGCTTACGCTAGAGTAACTAAAATTTTCTGCAGTATTTGTTAATCTCTGACGTTCTTCTCTTTTTCCCTAGCTTGCAAAGAATTTCAGTAAGCAGTAATTAATAAATTCGAACACAATTATTTTGACAGTTTCTCACAGTCCAGTACGACGAGTTTTGTGTAATTAAAATGTTTCTTAATTCGTTGAGAAACATGAGCTGTATTAGACAATAGTTCCTTGTTAGTCTCTGTCATGTTAAGCAGCATTTGTCAATCTGCGGCGTTCTTCTCTATTTCCCTGGATTCCAAGAGTTGTCAGTAAGCAGGATGTTAACCGCTTGGTCCGGGCGCGAAGGAAGTGTCTGAAACTGCTGATAGTAAGACAGTAAATGTAAAAGTTGGCGATGACGTTGATGTCCAAGAGGGAAGATGCAACTCGGTTAAAAGTTATCATGAAGGAACCCGGTTTTGAAGGATCTATCTCCGCAACCGTTGCAACAATATGATAAACTGCTATAGGAAGAAAGGAGATACAGTAGGCAGCCACTGTCAACGCCACTGTCATAACTCCTGTCCACTTCATTCCCTCCTGCGATTCTCTTGTCGCTCTTCTTGCCAATGCCAGAATCATCACCGATGTTACAACGATGATGATTGTTGGAACAATGAAAAAGATGACAATACCTACCGGTAGCAGGAACCTCCATACGCTCGAGCTAAATTCATAAATGCAAGTGTATGATCCGTAATCAAAGGAAACGTCATATCCATCAACTAAGATAAAGCAGATGGGCCAGAAAAGGGCCAGCAACCAGATTAGCAAACACATTCTGTGAGCCGTTCCTGCAGTCCAGGTTCGAGATCTTAGAGGGTATTTTAGGATCAGTAACTTGGAGGTTACCAAACCACTGATCAGAAGGCTTCCCGCGAAATAGCCTGTGTAGCCGAAGTATGGCGTCATGTGGCATAAAATAGGCCCAAATGTCCACTTGTCTGCAACCAACGAGACAGCCAGGGGGAAGATGTAACTTATGCAGATTACCAAATCACTAACCGCTATATGTTGAATAAAAGCAACCATCACTTCAGGCAATGCAATAGCCTCGTACTTAATGGAAGCAATGAGAATGATCGTGTCTCCAACCAGTGATGAACTAAGAACGAAGATGAACCATCCTGCCCAGATGTACCGCACTGCTTCATCCTTTACAACCAAATCGTCATTAGTGCTGTTCGGAACCGTCATAGCAAAGTAAAAAATATCACGAAGAATAGATCAAGTATCAAAGTATCACAACTGTACAACACAACTGTATAAGTAGTAAGGAATTTCGAGATTCTGTACTCTGGTTTTCAACTTCTACTCAGATAACGGTTTATCACCATGCTGAATATCTCTTCTAAGGAATGTATACTCCGGATTGGAATATTGTTTATGAGTCACATGGTTGCAATGTATTCTTGTGTAAATTTGTATTGATCCTGTTTGATGCGACAAGGAAAAATGCTCTTCTAAGGAAGATAGGAAATAAAATGACACACAAGTTTTTTTTCTAAACATTTTTCAAACTATAAATTCTCAAGTTGTACAATGCTCGGTAGATAATACATTGTAACTAATCTATATTATATCTCAAATTCTACATCCGGTACGGCTCTGCAGTCTGCACACATGATATCTCTCTCTGCCATGAAACATGACTAACCTTTTAAACTATGATTTAAAACCTAAACTAAAACTCAACTGGGCTCTCCTTTGTCACCAAACTAGACCAATAAGCAATTTTAGACTATTATATTTTTCTATATTTGTATAATAAGTATATTGACGTAGTGGATGGTTGAGGGGGTTTCAACTTTCAAGCACAGGTCACTCTCAAATCCTAAAGATAAGCAGTGGCCTTCGGCACTTGAAACCTCTTCAAACCTCCCCTGATTTATTCATTATTGATATTGTTTGATTGTGCCGTAAAAATAAATATTTGTAATATTTGTTTTATTAAATATTTGTTTTATTATTAACTTCTTATCTGTCCGACAGGGATTTTAAAGAAGAACGGATGTATGGATCCAACACCAATCCAGACAATAGCACTGCCTTGCATCATGTCCGGGAGAGATGTTATCGGTATAGCCAAAACAGGAAGTGGTAAAACCCTCTCCTTTCTACTACCCATGTTCAGGCACATCATGGACCAGCGGCCTCTTGAAGCTGAAGAGGGCCCTATAGGTTAGTCAATAGTCATCCTTTGTCTTCACACATAAGCGCCCAACTTAGCAAATTATTACAACCGATTAACTGATTTTGCAGAACCTTCCAATTCCTAAAATTTCGTTGCTATAATACAGTATATACAACTATTTTCACAACCTTTAAACTGCAGCTATGCTGATGTGCCCAACCCGAGAGTTGGCTCTACAAACCTACAACGAAGCACGCAAGTTCACTAAAGCCCTGCGGCTACGTGTTGTGTGTGTGTACGGTGGTACTGGTATCAGTGAACAGATAGCGGAGTTGAAGCGAGGCTGTGAGATTATAGTCTGCACACCAGGCAGGATGATAGACATGTTGACGGCCAACAGTGGCAAGGTTACCAACTGTAGACGGGTCACGTACTGCGTGTTCGATGAGGCTGATAGGATGTTCGACATGGGATTTGAGCCTCAGGTGGGTTCCTGAAAACGGGCGAAAATGCAGTGCATTTTGTTGTAAGATCTTTTAGAGACTAGATTTGTACCAATGTAATGCGAACTGTTGACATGTAATTCTCTAAATGTATAGCGCTTATTAAAGGTATCTGTAGGTAAATAAGATAATGGGCTGTATACGACCTGATAGACAAGTTGTTATGTTCTCCGCTACATTTCCACGTCAGATGGAAGCGCTGGCAAGGAAAATACTCGTCAAACCTATCGAGGTAATTTCCCTAACTTCTCTAGCCTTTCTTCGTTTTTATTCAAACGTTTGCCAGTATTAATCCAAGACTTATATCAATACGCTTAGATCAGTACTTTAAAAACTTATCAAAATGTGTAACTTGAAGAAAGTAATCAGTATAATATTGCAGATTTGCTACTGCTTATTTGTTTTCCTACTTAACATTGCTTCTCAGATAACGACAGGTGGAAGGAGCAAGGTGTGTTCCGAAGTAGATCAGAACATTATAGTAATAGACGAGGAGGACAAGTTTAATAAGCTCATGGAGATTCTGGGTCATTTTGGGGAGGGTCAGAGCTTGATTTTCGTTCATACCCAGCAGAAGTGCGATCTTATCCTCAAGGACCTCATGCATGCTTCTTACAGTGTCATGTCCCTTCATGGAGGTTGGGCTTGTGTTATTGTCTTTGTCAAGCATTAAATCTCACTTTGTGTAATTTGTGAACCTACCGTTTATATGAAAATAAGATTATCAGTCTACAATTATTTATAAGCTTCCTACAATCTCACGATCTGTCTTACCACCCCAGGGATGGATCAGCACGACAGAGACAGTGTTATCCAGGACTTCAAACAGGGTAATATCCGAGTACTGGTCGCAACGAGTGTCGCAGCGCGAGGACTCGACATCAAGGCTCTTCGTCTGGTTGTGAACCTTGACTGTCCAAACCATTACGAGGATTATGTACACAGGGTTGGGAGAACTGGTCGAGCTGGGATGAAAGGTGGGTCGCGGAGAGGATTAGGACCTCGGAACATTATTCCCTCACCTTTAAATCGTTTTTAATTCTAAATTATATATATTTTCAAATTCACAGAGTTAATATTAGTTAAACATGCCAGGAACCGCCTACACGTTCATCCAGCCAGACCAGCCACGCTATGCAGGTGACCTGATTAACGCACTTGAAGTCAGTGAGGTTCGTGTTCCCTCTGACCTGGACAAGCTGTGGAAGGACTACGTGGCGGAGCAACAAGAGGCCGGACTCAAAGTGGAGAAGAACAAGGGATTCAGTGGAAAAGGGTACAAGTTCAATGAGGAGGAGGCCATGATGCACGACGAACGGAAACAGCTCCAGAAATTCCAACTTGGTTAGATTTTTGAGGGAACTTTGTGCTGTTAATTTTGTGTTTTATCGGTAGTCCGAGGCTTTTATAATGTACATTTCAGATTTGCAAATTTGTTTAGGTTAGTTACATTAAATTGTTATTGGGCTGCAAAATAGCAATTGTATCTGTTTGCTTTGAGTGTCCATGGAGATCAACTTAACAAACACTAATCTCTCTCCAGGTCTACAAGACTCGGATGAAGAAGACCTTATGACCCAGAAACAAGACGAGTTAGAGAACGCTATAGAGGCTATCATGGGAGGCAAGAGAACCAACTTGGCTATTTCGGACAAGGCAGCCAATCCGACACCAGCTTTAAAGATTGACATCAGAAAAGGGAAAACTATCGAGGTAAGCGTGTCAGGAATTCTAAGGGATTTCAGTGGAATTTTATTTTCCTAATTATGAAGATTAATTGTACTTGATACCTTACAGCTGACAACAATAATAAGCTTCTGAAGAAAGTAATTTTGTTGCCAACACACTGTATGCTGTATTATCACATTAACCTCAAAACATCCGAACAATAACTTCACACGAATTGTGTTCAGGAGAGGGTGGGTCACCTGCAGGGAGCCGAGAGAGCAGCAGCTATCTGTACCTTGCTCGGAAAAGAGAAGAAACCTGACCCAGCAGAGTTGAAAGCAGCTGCTGCTGCTGCAGGAGCTGGGATTCAGGGTCCTAGTCTGATTGACCCCACCGCTCACGCTACCTCAGCTTTCATGAAGGGAGAACGTGTCACTGCTGTTTCTGGTTAGTTATCCTCTTTCACGCGACCTTTTCCTCTTACATTATACCAATACTGTTTGTGCAATGTGCTTATAAAGTTATAACAAGGCTCATTACATTCTAGATATTATCAGGCGTTTAGGTATACGTATTTAAGGTAACTTAGAAAGGAAGTTTACAATCTATGTTATGTATTGTTTAAAAGTTCTCAGCGGTAGAAATCGAAATATTAGTTTAATTATGAAGCAATTTTATTGATTTAGGAATTATATTGAATAGACAATATTACTACATTTCATAACGTTTTTGAACAAAATTAACAGTTAAACTAATACCAAGTTCTGAAAACATCATTAATTATCAGTATCTAAATTTAGTTTATTTTTATTTATTTATTTTTGAGTTATTGTTGTCATCAATACAGCATCAATGTCTAAACTTATGCCCAACTCTGCTTTAGATTGGTCAGTTAAAACCTCCTGGTAGGGATTGGAAATACAGTTCGCTCTACCCATGAACCAGGCTGAAGAACTTAGTTTATGTCACGAGAGACTTAGTTTTCTTACTCCTCGTCCCAAATCTCAGCAGCGGTTCCAAGTTTCCGCTGTCAAATTCTCCTCTACTTTAAGATGTTGAGCGTCTTGGAAGTTATTCTGCTTGGGAATGTTAAAATCCTTCTCACGCAGTGTGATTTGAAGTGCCACACTCCAATGCTTATCTCACTGCAGCTAACTGATTTGTTCAAAGATCTTCTGTGTTTCCACTTTTCTCAGCCACTTTTTTGTGTGAGCCTCACCGTCACGATGGACTGTTTGGTAGCTCTAGCCGATACTGCAACCTGTTTCAGAGTCCTACCAGTTACCAGACAGAGTGGCAGTACGCAGGAGTATATGTGAGGTAGAAACGTGAGGATAAAATCCATGATGAGTCTGTAGGGAGATCCTAGTCCCAGGATAATTGTAGGGTCAATAATCAGGATAAAGTTAACGACCACAGCAGGAAAGTAGCAGATAAAGTAAGAGAATGTGGTGAGGGAGGTAACGAAAAGTGCACCTTGTCTTATAATGGTAACATCTTGAGTGGTGGTCATTGGTTTACTGAAGTACCGGTACAGAACACAGTAAGTGCATGCCAGGATAAAGATTACATGAAGTGTTCCAGTGAGTAGTACAGACATGAAGAGGTTCAATATTTCGTGGATCATGAACAAGGAGCAACCAACAGATTGTGGTGGACCAAGGTACTTAAAACGTGCCGTGTCAGACACGATCAGCAAAGTGGACACAAAGCCGGACAAAATTATGATCCCCGTGATGATTTTCAGGACGATGTTTCGTTTTGCAATATTCTTGTATCGTCTTGGTTTTAGTACTGCAGTGATTCGATAAAGACATATCGTGGATAAAATGAGGGACTGGTTCAAGAACATGGCCATCTGTATACCTCCTAAGACCTCACAGCCAATTCGAGAAATTTCCTTCCAAAGTAACACCCCCTCAACAACTGCAACAATCAGATCTGATATGCAAACCATATGAACAGCGGCAAAAAACAAGTACATTGGCTGTTTCTGTTGGGCGATGAGAAAGAAAGATTTGAGGATTCTTGCGTTTAGAGGAGCGAAGATCAGGGCTGGGCTACAGCTTGTAATTGTCATGAAGATTGAGATCGGAAAAATTCTTGCGTCCTGTTCCTCATTTTTATCGTCCACATGTTTTTGTGTAATTGGTGATGAGTCACTGTTCGCCTCACTTATAGAGCTCTTAGAGATAAAGATCACTCCATGAAATACATTGTCTGTATCCCAACCAGAAGCTCCTCTAGAACGACTTTCTGAACCACCAGACAATCTATCTCGGGATGGCAATAACGGGGTATCTACCACTGACGGAAATTCAGAATTAAGACCTAGACTGTCATCCGTCAGGTCATCGATTTTATTTTCATTTTTATGACCGGCCTGTTCCTTATTTTTAACGTCCTGTTTTTGTGTAATTGGTGATGAGTTTTTGATCGCCTCACTTGAAGGGCTCTCAGAGATAACGGTCAGTCTAAATCCACCGGCCGACTCAACTATGTTAGAGACGAGAAACAGATTTGGATTGAGAAGTATTTGAATGTTGATCGTAATGAAGATTGTGTTGAGGATTCCAGACACCATGACACTACCTGGCAATAAAAATTGTGTTGTTTATTTTCAAACGTTCATATTGGAAACATCATAAGTACTTTACAGGTGAAGATTATAGATAGCTGTTACCTGAATTTTCCGAGCATACTTTCAGTTTCAGCATTTCATAAGCTTCAACAGATTTTGGCTGCGGTATAATGTCCCATCCTACTGAATGATAAAAAAGATGTTCGCCAAATAAGATCATCGAAACAATGTGATCCTCGATTAATTCCGAACTATTTTATAGTTTTCTGTATGTACACGTACTCTGGTTCTTCACCAGAGACAACATTCTGCACCTGCCTGAATTTGCTTAATGTTTATCGATGACTTTTTCAGTCTGCAGAAAACAACACTAAATTTAAAAAGATTTTTTGAAACACCGAGTCTTCCCATTTTATAGTGATATTTTCAAAGCTCCTGACGCAAGAAACCTTTGTATTCACCAGCATTTCTTAGTCGTATGACCAGTCATGTGACCAGTCGTGTAACCAGTCATGTGACCAAGAGAAGCATAAAGGTTTTCACTTGATGCGATATTTTGTGAAGAGCACTCAGAATGGTGGTCCAATCAAACATTTATTGTATTGGTGAGTTGAGATATTTGCCAATTTTGTGTATTTTCCATTAATATGTATGAGGTATGTGCAGTGAGGCGACAGATCTACATTTTTATTGTCTTAATAGAGCCATAAAACTGAATTTAAAATAGAAATGTGGATATAATAAAATGTAAAACTTTCAAACGGAGGCTTATAAATATTATTATATTATGATTGTAAAAATAAAATAAAGGATAAAATTTTAAATTTTTTGAATAAATGTGCGGCAACTTTGGCGAATAGTGCGGCTCGAGTTCAGCGATTTCTGGCTTTGCTGGTCTGGGCCTTGCTGAGTGCTGACATCTTAAAAAATGCCTGTAACGATGGCCAAACACCTATGAACAATCCCTTACTGCAAAAGAGCAACTGATAAGAGATATGATTATTGAATGACTCTGATCAGTCTGAAATACAGTCTGATATAAGTCATCTCACAGCATATTGGTATGATAATGTGATTCTTCTAAACCTGTGACTTGTAAGAGTGCAAGATGCAATCGTCACGTTGGGATCATTGGCTCACCAAAGAAATTTGGTGTCCTTTTATCCAAAAGTTACACCATCTGCAGTCTCAAAATGGAATCATTGCTATACATATTTCATCAAAAATAGCATACATTTAGAAATATCGCTATGATTTAACGGCACGATTCTATTCCATTTCTATGTTTCATCAAAAGATGATTTGACGGCGTTGTAGTCGGAATATATAAAATATTTGGTATCGAGGTAAACGATTCATTAAGATAATATTATAGCCTATTCTCTGTGTTTTGAAAACAAATTGTGTGAAAAGTGTGGAAAACTGCTGTTAGTAGTGCGATTCTGCACCCGCCGCACTTATGTTGCCTCTGTTCGACACGTACTATAGTTCGACAAACCCTTAGGTTCGAATCTGTCAAACTAGCAATCTGGCAGTGCTGCACGCCACCGGCGGCGGCGTAATCGGCGTGAGGTCATGTGATTTCGCAGATTAAATTTTCCTCTAGAATAATTCCGATCCATGTGGAGAGCAACTATAACAGTTTCGAATTTTGACATGAGGCTCGTAATGTCTGTGAGTTATGGTCTGAAATGTTGGATTTCGTTCAAAAAATTCTTCCCAAAATTACGAAACTGCGCATTCGGCGTATAAACAGGTTCACGCCGTGTACGCCGTTTGAGAACGGCGGCGGCGGCGTGGCCGGAAAATCATCGGCGGCGTGCAGAACTGCTATATGGACTCTAGTACGACACGTAACCAAGTTCGACAAGAGTGAATCATGGGCACTGAGCAGTAGGGCTGTAGGGTGATTCGCAAACACTATCTCCACATGCTTTGTTACTACTTATAGATGTTTTAAATAAGATACTGTCAACAAAAGCCACTGTGTCGCAGAGCCTTCACAAGTAGAGTATTGGTGATAACATTAACAAGCTTCTTTTGCAGTCATTTGACCATTTTTTATAGATCCAATTATAGATGCTGAGATGATATAGCTATACCTTAGAGAGATATCTATTACATATTAGAGACCACTTAGTTATATTCAATAGACAATATCACTACATTGCATAATTTTTGAACTTAATTAACAGGAAAACTAATACCAAGCTATGAATACAGCATTAATTATCAGTATCTAAATTTAGTTTATTTTTATTTATTTATTTTTGAGTTATTGTTGTCATCAATACAGCATCAATGTCTAAACTTATGCCCAGCTCTGCTTTAGATTGGTCAGTTAAAACCTCCTGGTAGGGATTGAAAATACAGTTCGCTCTACCCAGGAACCAGGCTGAAGATCTTAGTTTATGTCTTGAGAGACTTAGTTTTCTTACTCCTCGTCCCAAATCTCAGCAGCAGTTCCAAGTTTCCGCTATCAAATTCTCCTCTACTTTTCTGAGTAGTGATGTTGAGTGTCTTGGAAGTTATTTTTCTTGGGAATGTTAAAATCCTTCTCACGCTGTGTGATTTGAAGTGCCACACTCCAATGCTTATCTCACTGCAGCTAACCTCGACTGATTTTTCCAAAGATCTTCTGTGTTTCCACTTTTCTCATCCACTTTTTTGTGTGAGCCTCACCGTCACGATGGACTGTTTGGTAACTCTAGCCGATACTGCAACCTGTTTCAGAGTCCTACCAGTTACCAGACAGAGTGGCAGTACGCAGGAGTATATGTGAGGTAGAAACGTGAGGATAAAATCCATGATGAGTCTGTAGGGAGATCCTAGTCCCAGGATAATTGTAGGGTCAATAGTCAGAATA